TGTCCGCAATATTCTCTCCCAAAGTATTCCTTCCGTTCAACTAATCATTCAATTCATGACAACTGTATTAACACTTAATATACGAAACACATCCCAAACCCCACTATTTCTAGGCATACATTCATATGAACTTCCGGTACGTATTCACTCGAGTATTGTTTGACAAAACAATTTGCCTTTTCATTGTACTTTGCATCTGAATATATAGTGAACCAATTATTTAGATTTCCCTTAGAATCGTATTTAAGACCTAGGTATGATATCACATATGAATCTTACTGAAATGTTAAACATCAATGCATACTGACCCCAACCATCAAACCCATGGGTAAGTTCGTGTCCAATAGTCTGTAACAATTTGTGTAATTTAACAAATATCCTGTCCATACAGTACGGTATTATTAAAATATAATTACCGATCCAATGGCCCCATAGTTTATAGTAGCCGGACCATTGCTATATAGAAAGGGTGGCTTCAGAATAGTAGCCGGGAATGCTTATTAAAAATAAACCAAAATAAATAAATATGATTTTTAAAATATTTGTTAACTATTTAAATCAAATAATCAAAGCAAATTGATTTTCAAAATATTTATAATGTTTTCATGCTACACTAAAACTAAATTATTTTATTGAATGAATTTATTTCAAAAGTGATTCATTTAACCACTGTTTATATGTTTATTACTGATTGAATTGGAATTGTGGTCGTGATATGCGTTTACTTCGATGGTTGAGCCTGGCCATCTGGGTAAGTAAAGCATAATTTAAGTAATCAATTAGTTTGTTACATAAATACTTGCTCTCTAGTGATGTCGACGGGCTGTCCAATTGATCTCATATTTCGTTCGACACAATTGCTTTGCATATAAACCATAGCCTCGAATGACTTCTTGGGATTCACTCTATGTTTCTGTAGATTTATATTCAAAAGTCAGTAAAACTATAAACATTATAACAAATAATGATTAGCGATTATTCAATAAGTACGTACGCACTGGATGGGAGAGGGGGATCAGCCTAGACATGTGTAATTATGTTAAAGTCCTATATACGAGGGGATTAAGTAGGGAATAGATTTTTGTACAAATTTTTGAGTAACTACTTATTGAATGACCTCTTACTGAAAAATACAAATTGATAAAAGTTGTCCAGTTCATGATTATTGAGCACCCAATCGGGGTATCCAACAAGCTCATTCATTTTATTTAATTTATATAAAGCTCGTAATCTGGTGATTATATCCAACCATCCTTTCCCTTCAATCAACTCGTAATAAGCTTTCTTAACGTCTCGGATATACCTTAAAACCTAAATTATTGGCACAATTAATGCATAAAAACTTCAGTATCAGTGTAGGAGTTAATGAATATTGTATATAATGTGTTCAAAATTATATAACAAACCTTTTGTCTATCATTTTGTGTGAAATGTTGGTCGACGTATACACGACTCAAAACGTATGGCAATTGAGACGATATGCTGGCCGTACAGCTCCTCCACAACTCGACATCCTTTTCCACTCCAGTTAATAATTGGTTCAATTTAAAACTAATATCCCTGAACTGTGTAGTGGTATGTGAGCCCAAATTCATAATTAATTTCCAGCCGAAATAGTTGGCAATAACTCTATTGGGAGTTGTGGTCAACAGTTGTGTCACATTTATATAATAATTAATGTCTTGAATGATCACCAAATCATCGCTTTTCATACGAATGGTTTCATTCAATTCCTTGTATACAGTGTTTGTTATGTTGAGCCAATCGACACTATTATCCATCATTTCATTAAACTTTTTGAAGGATACCTTCTCGTAAAACACATCCGTTTGTGAAAACTGGAATAAAAGTAAATTTACAGATTCTTTAATTAAAATGCTAAATATTAAATTACCTGAGCCAATTTGGTTTCAAACTCCAGTATATTGCCAATGTCCATTTTAGTTTGTGTGCTATACTCGGCGCCCAATAGTAGCGCCGATTGAAGCATATACTCCACGTAGCCTCTAATATAATCAATATAATCGTGTGGATTTAGAAAATGACTCCGGTGCAAACCTAATGTTGGTTGAGATGTATAATGACTCGAGAACTAAATATTCATTAGATTTGAACATTTAAATTACATATTAAACAAAATAATGAATTCTTACATGAATGCGATTCACGAGACTATTCATAGAAACTGACAGCGCGAATACCGGCGAGGATTTAGATATAATCACGTGTTTCACAAACGCGTCCTTCCAATCAAATTCTGTCTCATTATAGCCACCCGACTGTCCCAATATAGGCCACCCGCCCACTG